AATAACATTATACCTTCTTATTATTATTTTATCATCCTTTACTTTTTTTTACTAAAAGTTATCTTTAAGATACATGAAAAAGAAGTGATATTAAATACAAATATTCAATTTATAGAGAATATAGATTTAATATTAAAAATAAATGCTTTTAGGAATCATTTTACTGGTTAGCAGTATAAAATATTTTTTATATTTTGGTTATACTTACTAAAAAAATAATTTCTTAATTATATTTATCTAAATCCATTATGTTCATCTAAACTTGTCCTATATGAAATATAGCTATTCCACAGTAGGGCAACTGATTGTACAACTAAAGCCTGATAGTTTAAAGGCACCAAGGAAAAATTCACAAGTTGTACCATAGGCCATAGCTAAAATAACAATGATATGCTGGTAAAGTCATAAAGCAAATAACACTAAATTGACTCTATGTGAAAGAAATTTCATTACCTTATAATTATTTATTAAAATATCACTATATTCATTTGCAAGTTTAGTTTTTAGCTTCTCGACATCTTTTCCTTGACAAACACCAATAGTAATTAATAAAACTGCTATAAATGTTGGTGCAAAAAGCAATTGATCGCAAGCAACCTTCTTTATACCAACTATGTAACCTTTGGAACCTATGTATTTATCTAAAATTCCATACCATGTTCTTGTTGCTGGACCCTGAATATTTTTATTGACACATATACAAACTCTTTAATATTGTATCTTATTTTATATTTCTGCATACTTTTTATTAGTAGTATATGTAAAATATCTTATCAAATTTCAAAAATCAAATAGGTCTATCAGAAATATTTATTTTAAAAATATCTGCAATTTTTTCTTGAAAATATATTTTTATATAATTACTTACAGTGATCAATAGACCAATTCCAGCAAATTGCATTGTTCGTACATAATCAATGGGTTTTGAATTACTTTCTATAAAATTTTGTGCAATCTGATCTCCAAGTCCCATTAATATTCCTGTATATCAAAAGTGACATTAATAATGATAATAATATACATAATTATGCTATGTATAATATATATATATAATTTTATATATAGTAAAATATAATAATATAATATAAAATAAAATATAATATATAATTTTATATATAGTAAATTGGTTAATTACATTACCAGCTTGGACTGCTTGAGTACCCACAGGATATTTCCTCAATGCAGTTTGGTATATTCTACTTAAATTTCGCATAATGATACATCACTCAACAGTATCACGTTATTTGTTAGATAAGAATCTACATTCATGAGTAGGATATCTGTCCAGATTAGGTTATCTACTAAAATAATAGGTATGAAACGTGTGAATCATAAATTGATACGGGCCAGCGATGTCACGAAAATGTCGAATTTAAAGTAACGTCATAAAGTGTCAATTAATTAATCGAATGAGAAAGCGCAGTAATATTCGATTATCCAGCATATGATTATGTAATTTAATTATACTAACAATATAAGGTAATTAGTATTGGTTAATAATGATGAACTACTGATATTCACCTGTTTCAAACTTAATAATTCGACAGCGGAAATTAGAGTATATTGCACTTCCTAACACTTTCTGTACTTCCTGAACCTATTTTCAGTTTCTCACGCTCGCGACGGGCGGGCTCCGATAGCTCACATAGGCCAGTATAGTCGAATTTTATATTTAAGACGGTCTTAAGTTCATCTATAGATGCTTTTTAGCCAATGAAATAAACCATAAAACATTTGAAGATGAACTTAAGGCCTTAAATATGAGAAATTTGATTATGAATATCAGCCATATGCTTCTGCCTACGCGCCGATCAATGTGCCATTTTTCCACGAGAACTAAAAATTTATTGGCTACCACGTCGCTTCTTGCCGCGCAGCATTTCCGCGTTCTGTGGGCAGAAGCCAATAGAGTGTCTCTAATCAAAGTGGAGACATACGAATACCATTTTTGATTGGTCCGCCATTTTTATTCGTTCTCGCCAGTTTTTCTATTTTATTATTTTCGGAACTTGTATTTTCATTTAAAAAATGTTGAAGTTAAAACAAAAAATATGAATACTAATTGTAAATAAATTGAAAAATAGAAATTATACATAAAATATTAATGTAATTTCAGTCAACTTATGGTACAGCTGGCTACGATATTATAGGTGCGTTTTTTTTTAACGTTTATATGCTGTCATTCTATCTTTGCGGTTCGTTACATGTCAAAAGAAAATAGAATAAGCTTACAACGTGTGAATGCCCAAAAAGAACGTAACCTGTATGATAGACAAAGAACAGAGATCATATTTCTTTCTCTTTCGCGCGATTTCGATGAAAAATGGCGGAATTTTCCTTATGCATTCAACTATATAACAAATTGGAATGAGCACTGTCTTTTTGCCAGATCACTTCGTACCGAGAGAGATAGTATCTATGTAGTATCCCCGTCTTTATCTGTTTGTCCGTTTTGTCTTCCGGTTGCAGTGTTTGGATTCAGGTTTCATGCTCCTGTTTATGTTAGCAGCGGGATGCCTTATTGCATTGAGAGATTACGGTTTCTCTTGTCTATANTCCATCGATTTTAAGACTCTCTAACGACACGCAGTGTCGTTTCTTCGGCGTTATAATTCGGCGTTATAATTTTAATTATAATATTTAACGTGCGCGAATATCTTAGAGCATATACAGGGTGCGGCGAAAGGTTTGCCCGAGTTTGAAAAATCCATTGCTCACCAGATGGCGTGAGTAGGTTGTTGGGCAGGGTCTCATTAGGA